CTCCCCTGCAGGCCCGGATTCCCCACAAGGCCACCGAGGCCCGGCCTCGGGGCAGCAGGGCGCAATGGGGCGGCAGCGGTGTCCTTGTGGGGAAGTTGCCCTCTCTACATTCAGTCCTGCTTTGTACAAGCAGGACTGAATGTCGAGTGAGGCAGCCGATTTTTCGTTTATTTGTGAAATCTGCGATTTTTCGTTTATTTGTGAACAGTGTGCAGCCGGTTCGTCCGTCCTCCCCTTTCCCCTGCACTTACCTCTCTCCTTTGGTTCCATCCTCCGCCGCCGAGTCCCGAGTCTCTGACTGCAGTGAGCAGAGCGGCAGGATTATAAGTAACCCTGCCGCTTCGTGAAGACTGTAGACAGTGAGAAGGGAGAGCTGTGCTCTTCCTCTCACACCTGTCACAGGAGTTCCAGCACAGTGTTGTGCTAGAACTCCTGTATTGGAGGTGACAGGTTCAATAAAGAGAACTTGTCACCCCCAAATGCTATCACACAGGGGCTTGATTGTCCCTATGTGATAGCAATAGAGTTAAGTGAAAAATAATTGATAAAAAAAATAATTAAATAAATATAAATTTAAAAAAAAGAAGAAATAATTAAAGAAAAAAGAAAAAAAGTGATAAAAAAGTAAACAAATAAATAAATAAACAGTAAAACAAAATTGACACTAACCCCGCCGCCCCGCCGTCTGGTTGCTATTCTCCATTGATGGGAAGGGGGGGAGTGCAGAACTTGGCCTTGGGGCGGCAGGGAGAGTAAATCCAGCCCCTTGTGCTTCATCCGGCCGGGTAAACTGACACCAGCCAGGAGGACAGTGTCAGACGGCTGAGGAGACTATCTGCCATTCCAGAACACAGAATAGCTGAACTTAAAAGTTTTAACTATTCTGCGTTCTATTACAAAAACACCATTTAGTTCATCTGGTTTCAGCAGGTATTAACTGAAGAGTTTTTATGAGGACTGGGACCAAACGGCTTAGTGATTTTACAGCCTCATATCATACAGGGAACTACAAGTCCCAGCATGCCCTCATTGTCCCTGTACAGTCCCCCATATCTCAGTTCCCTGAGTGATATTTGGGGGGCTTATAGGGACAATGAGGGCATGCTGGAACTTGTAGTTCCCTGAGTAATATTTTTGGGGGTATACAGGGACAATGAGGGTATGCTAGGACTTGTAGTTCAATTACGACAAGTCCCAGCATGCTCTCATTGTACCTGTACACCCCCACATGTTCTGCCCCAGGCGCCCATTACTCTGGTTACACCACTGCCCATCTCTCTATGGTAAATTAGTGTTTAACACTCTTTCTTGAATTGCCTGGGCTCAGTCTCCATCAGGAACCATTTTTATCCAGTGTGTATGTTCCCCATGTCTGGTTTCCCTGATGCTCTTATGTCCTTTCTTATGCCAAAAACATACTGGTACATTTATAGTTTCCTACTGAAAACTGGCATAGAACAGTTCTAAAGGGTATATGTACTTTCTAAATAGCTACGAAAAAGAAATAAAATTAAATGTTTGTGTTCACTGGACCTACATGAAGACAAGCCAAATTTCAACACTTTCTGTCAGGCTCACTGGCAACTTTTTAAAGCAAGTGTAAGGAAGCAATAAAAATGTTAACACTGCTTACAATGTTTACCTTTGTGACATACTTTCTTGTAACCTCAAGTTTTCCAGAAAGATGCAAGGTTAAGCTATATTTAAAAAAAAAAAACATCTTGTTATGCTATATAGTAGCTAGCGATGTTCAGATACCAGTCCCAAAACTTGGTATTTTCACTATTTCACTATATATATATATAAATGACAGCTGCCTCCTAACTTTTGAGTTTTTCTCTAGTCTAGTCTTGGAGCTGGAAAGGCTCACCATACATGTTACAATCTAACTATACTATCTCTGTACAATCAACCTTAGATCTACCAAAACTATGTAATGTCAGGACCTCCCCGAATTATCCAAAGAACTTGTATTCAATAAGGCAGGTCCTTGCACTACAAACCTATTCGTAGATCTAAAGGACATTGCACAATAAGAGCATAACGTGTGGTGAGCTTTATGTTCTGATACAGTTAAAAAAATTATATTTATGTAACACATCTTTATCAACATGACAACATATTATTAAAACAAAAACTAAAGAGCCATGGAATACATTTGGTGCTTTAGCAGTACTGCATGGAAAGATTACACATCATCAATGTTAAAATGACAGCCTATAAAACTGCTTCATTGTGCAAAAAGTTTGCTACACACAATTGCAGTGGTGGGATGGATATTATGTCATTCCAGGCTAGATGAACTTCTTCAAAGCAGGTGATTCATCAGTTATGTAATAGTTGCTTTGGGTGATATACTGTAGGAAGAAGCACTGAGGTCACATTACTCAATAGCAACTTTATTGAAACTTCTTATCCTCTGGATGAGCTGCACTAGGTTACAGGTGAGTACACTTCACAAGCTGCAGTCTTCCCATAGAAATCATGTTTTATATACTACCAGCTTGCAGGTTCTTATAAATGATCCAAGCTATTAGCTTCTAAGTATATACATGTGCACACGTCACAGGGAAACACTTTCAAACTAATGATCAGAGCACAGGAATATCTCAGTAACCCAATCCATCCCACACCCTTGCTTTATCTCACGCTCACTCTTACCTGCAGAAAAGCTAAAGCCAGCGGAGCAGAAAGCAGTAATGATCCAGCCGTATCCAGCCTTGAGCAGGATGAGAGACCACCAGCCTCCACTTCCCTTTGACTCGTGTAACAAAGCCACAGCTGGAACATGCAGGGAAGCAGACTAGCAGAAGATTGACTGTGTGAGCTTGCATTGGTGGTGCTTGTGGTGGGCATGGCTTGGCTGTGCCCCCGCCTTCTCTCTTGCTCGTGTCTGCACTCTGTTCGTAGTATTGGATGCATCGATATTCTAGCAGGAGCTATGCAATGTCTTGAGCTCCTTTGCCAGTCCAAGGGTGCAGCGCTGGGCTTAGCTGGCATGCGAGGAAGCTTTTAAAGTCCATCCAGCCGTAGGAGAGAGACAAAGGCTGGGCACCAAGTGGCAACCCTGCAAGCTGGAGAGCACTCTGAAAGTCGGTAAAGTGCCTTTTAAGAGTAGCTGCTGCCCGTTCCTGGCTAGGCTCTTCTTTTGGACGCCGCTAAAGAGGTTGATGGTCTATCTCCATTCCTTCCAGAAGTAGGAGCTTTGGCAGAACAGGGGTCGATTAGGGGGGCTTCGGTGCTGTCGTGGAAGTGTCCACCTAGCTCTAGCGATGTGGGTCTTGGTGCTGGTGCTAGGGCTGGTCTGGCTGGCTGGGCTGTCCAACGCTCAGAACGAAACGGAACCTATCCTGTTGGAGGGCAAGTGTCTGGTGGTCTGTGACTCCAACCCGACCGCCGACCCCACTGGCACAGCGCTTGGCATCTCCGTGCGCTCCGGCAGCGCCAAGGTGGCTTTCTCTGCCATCAGGAGCACTAACCATGAGCCGTCCGAGATGAGTAACAGATCTATGACCATCTACTTCGACCAGGTGAGTCAAGTCTAACCACAAGGGCACTTCGCAGAGTGCTGGTTATAAGGGGTGACTGGTGGAGCAATGGGCGTCGTAGTAGCATCTGCCTACTAGATCTGTCATTGTACATCGCCCTGGTCTATCGTTCTCTCCTGACGCTTCCAATTCAGAAGTGGCATACACGTGTTTGAGAATGAAATACGTGCAGATAATAAATAAGTAGGCTGATATTTACTGAAGGTACTAAGTACGGTGACAGATTGAAGTTTCTTACCCCTCTCTGTGACTTTGTTGTATGTAAGGTCTTCAGATCATCGCTTTACCTAGGCAATGTCATCAGGGCCATTAGGATGAAGGCTGCTTCACCAGCCTCAGTGCAGATGCTTTTATTATTCCTGGACAGATTTTCATGGTAACCCCTGATCGGAGTTTGTGAGCATGCTTTGTTAGGTCAAATAGCTTTTATTTAGTAATAGCCAGGGCCATTGCATGGTGTTTATGGGAGGGAATGCTGCCTTTAGACGTTGCATCCAATTTAATAAAAACTTTGGGATCCAAGCAGAGTTGTAACACAGCTGACTTAGTCCCTTGGGCTCATCATAAACTGCTGTGCCTTCCACCTTTCCCTTGTCATAAACCGCAAAGCTGACCATCTCTAATAGGCGGCCGTATGTACCTGCTGGAGCTGAGTCTGCAGAAACAGCCATTCGTGTCTTCAGATGACATTTCACTTCCACGAGCAGCTTCTCAATGCTTTCTATTCCGTCTGGAGAATTCAGCTTGCGGAGTTTAGATATTTATTGTCTAGAAGGGTAGTTCATTTACCCAACGCAAAGCAAGTAATTGCCAAATGCCAGCCGTTTATTTGTTGCCAATATAAAATAAAAAAATAAAAGATTGCGTTTGCCAGTACAATAAAAACAAACTTGCTTTTGGAACAGTAACATCTATTTTTTTGTTATAGTCACCTTCTTTGTAACTTTTCACATTCATTCAAACTGCTTTGAAATTCAAATAAAATTGTTAAAAACGTGTGATCCTTTGAAAGGGCTTAACAATTGTTTTTTTTTTT